TTAACGTGCCATCTGGCACTTCCGTCGACGGAAGGACGAAATTGGTCCCAAAAATTGAAGTTTAAGGATTTTTTTAGTACTTTTTTTAGTTCGAGGGTATTTTTAGTCCAAAAATGAAAGTTCAAGGACTGAATCGGGGATATAACCTTTATTATTCGATTAATCTTAAATTTTTTAATATTTCATCTCTATGTTCATGGTTTTTCTCATCATCACAAAAAATTATCTTCAGTAATAAAAAAAATTAACTAAAAGGACTTAAATGTGGTGTGGGAAAGATAAAAATATAAAGAAAAATAATAAAAATAAAAATTTATGGGACCTAATTAATGCAAAAGCTCAGGAGGGCATGGGATGCCAGGACCACCCTAGCTCCACCACGGATGTAAGCTTAAAGTTAATGTTGAGGAACTCGTCTAAGATCAACTGAGGTTATTTCCATGACAAGATGCATAAGAATGCGGAAACAAAGAGAATATTGATGATTACCTTAAAGAATAAGCAACCAGGAAATTTTGGGAATCACAACGTTGCCCTGATTTGAAGTGATGAAATCTGCAGGAATCACTAATAATGAGTTCACGTTCTGTGACCTTGTAACCATGAATTTGCCTTCCCAAGTTCAAGTTTTCCAAGCCAGCACGAGCTTTGAGGATAATTGAGAAAACAAACTCATCCAATTCAACACTTTCCCTTACCATGTTACCAAACAGCTCCAAAGCATCTTTTTGTTTTCCAGATTGCACACACCCCATTATAAATTCTGTCCAACTTATAGCATTCTTTTAACTTATCCTACCACAAAGAATCTTAGCACCCTCTAACCACCCACACCTCATGTACATATTCAAGATTGATGTGTTAACAGAAATCCCTGTGCTTAACTCAGTTCTTACAATAAGTGAATGAATCTGTTTACCTATCTCCAAAAGAGAAGGATGAGTTAAACACTTCAAGAAGCATTTTGTAAGAATATACAGAACGCTTTCTCCAAATTTCCCGTTTGCGCGTTAGAAATCATTATAGACCAAGACGTAGTATTTCTCCCAAGCATCTCATCAAACAGTTTCTATGCTTCCAAATAGCTATCTCAATGTCAGTACACTCGCAGAACACAACTCACAATTCACCACAAACAAAGATGGGTTTATAGTTCTCTTCAACAATCATGAATCAATATAGGTTTCAACTGACAGTCATATGAACTGAGGTTTAAAGAACAAAGATGGGTTCATCATTCTCTGTAACCAATCATGAATCAATATAGGTTTCAATTGACATTATATGAACCGAGGCTAAAAGGAAAAAGCAAGACCACCGCCGTTGTCGGGGATCGAACCCGAGTCGCCCGCGTGACAGGCGGAAATACTCACCACTATACTACAACAACTTGTGTGTCTGTTGCTTGAAAATTATATTATTAGAATGTAAGACCAGAACACATTCGTAGCTGTTGTTGCTAAAAACCTTCAAGATCTTCCTTTAGTGAATCTTATCTCCGGGTGGACCTGCAAAATCCCAAGGTTGGTCCTCGAGGAGAAACTCTTATGCTTAAGTCGGTATTTTTCTAGTGAGTCTTCTCCTTTTCTATTCTGTGTATTTATAGTACCTTCTTTGTGGGTTTTGTACATCGTGACAAGGTACCAATGTGGCTTGCCCATACTCACGTGGCTTAGTTTACACAATAATTATGACATGGTGTGCCTGACAGAGTAGATGTTTTAGGTGAACTTAACGTGCTTTAACGGAGCAAACACATTAAATGCGCGTGGTGTGTTCTGACGGAGCAGGTCTTTTGAGAGGAGAGACTCAGGTAAGGACAAATGATCGGGTAAGGGTATTCTTATTGTGACTACCATATACTTGTGGCAAAAAGCCGAGGTGCGGCAGACATTGAGCTCTGCTTGTCTCGTGTATATATGCTCTTACACTACCCCCCCCCAAAAGTCATTCACTTGTGAATGATGAAAGGAAGATGGGAAATGTGGGGATGATCATGGCCAAGGTGAAAAGGGGTTTGTGTTTTGTGTCGCAGTTGAGGTAAGATGAGTGATAGAAGTCACTATGGTCAGAACCGAGGTAAAATGAGTGAAATAAGTGACTTGATGTCACTATGGCCGGGGTCGAAGTAAAGTAAGTGACTTGATGTCACTATGGTCGGAGCCGAGGTAAAATAAGTGACTTGATGTCACTTATTTTTATTGTGACTACCATATACTTGTGGCAAAAAGTCGAGGTGCGGCAGACATTGAGCTCTGCTTGTCTCGGGTATATATGCCCTTACACTATTCCCCCCCAAAAGTCATTCACTTGTGAATGATGAAAGGAAGATGGGAAATATGGGGATGACCACGACCGAGGTGAAAGGGGGTTTGTGTTCTGTGTCGTAGTTGAGGTAAGATGAGTGACAGAAGTCACTGCAATCGGAACCGAGGTAAAATGAGTGAAATAAGTGACTTGATGTCATTATGGCCGGGGCCAAAGTAAGTGACTTGATGTCACTGTGGCCGGAGCTGAGGTAAAATAAGTGACTTGATGTCACTATGGCCGGAGCTGGAGTAAAATAAATGACAAGTCACTATGGCCAGAGCCGAGGGAAAATAAGTGACCAGTCACTGTGGCCGGAGTCGAAGTAAAATAAGTGACTTGATGTCACTGTAGCCGGAGCCGGAGTAAAATAAATGAAAAGTCACTATGGCCAGAGCCGACATAAAATAAGTGACTGGTCATTGTGGCCGGAGCAGAAGCAAAATAAGTGACTTGATGTCACTATGGTCGGAGCTAGAGTAAAATAAGTGACAGGTCACTGTGGCCGGAGCCGAAGGAAAATAAGTGACTTGATGTCACTGTGGCTGGAGTCAGAGTAAAATAAGTGACAGGTCACTGTGGTCGAAGTCGAAGTAAAATAAGTGACTTGATGTCCTTGTGGCCGAAGCCGAAGTAAAATATGGACACTTGGTAATTTTGTGGAAAGGGAACATATATGAAGGGGGTTCTAAATGGGCTTCAAATGGGCCAATTACTGGAGTCTCGAAGCTGGTTAATGTACTAGATGACAGCTGTCATTGAAGGATGTGCAGCAATAAATGCCGTCTGCAAAAAATAACTGTCACATTTGAAAAGACACGACGATAACTTAAACGGCGAATTTGGAAAGGCAAGGTCATGAACGTTTGATGAAATCAATCGTCACCGTTAAAGTATGTGTTTGCTGTGACATACATATAGCCTGACTTAACACAAAAATCTAATTGCTTTTGTTGCTAACATTGTGAAAACACTCATCGATGTTTCTACATCCTACTCTGTTTGTCCCTTTCTAGCCAGAATTAGGTAATTTGTGAAAGTCTTCTTTTTACCTTTTTTTATTGCGAGAATGTCTTTGGAGGAGACGGTTAGTGATGAAAGAGTTAGGGGGAGGTTTGAGGAGGTAGAGATGAGGGATTTGGGGGTGCCCTTAAATATTTTAGATAGAGAGGATGAAAGGGAGGACTGTTTCAACCTCGAGGAAGAGATTGTTGGTGAGCTGATGGGGTATGAAACGTCTCTGGGAAATAAGAGTAGCTTGGCCCATTTAGTTGAGAACTACGAGGTGCTTGGGCATGTGTTAATGAGGCCAGCAAGAAGGAGAGAGAGGGCTTGTTTGGCTCTGGGGGACCATTGGATGCCTTTATATTCCCATTACTTGGTAGCCGGGTTGTGGTTCCTTATCCTAGACTTGTTGGTGTGGTTGTTGATGGAGTATGGTTTAGGGTTAACACAGCTAACCTCGAACGCTGTGAGGCTAGTAAGAGCTTTTCCAGTGTACGGTCGAGTTCAAGGGGTATCATTTCCCACCATGAGTGTATTTAAGTATTTTTATGTTTTGAATGCTGGGAGTGGTAAGGAGATGGGGTGATATTATTTTACGGGTTGGGTAGTTAATAGGAAGAAGAGGGGTTTGTTTAGTGCTAGGTCATCTTTCATTAAAGGATGGAAAGATAAATTTTTTTTTTTGTGGATGACATCGAGTTGGATAAGATGGATGCTAAGGTGGAGAACCTGAGTCGGTGGAAGGCAAAAAGGTTGAATCTCAATGAGTATAACTTGACCTCGAGGGAATTAGAGGATGTGAGGATGTTGGAGAAGGGGGATGAATTACATGTCATGGAGTACACAAGCTAGAGGATGTTAGATGCGGTTGAGATATACGGGCCGACCTCGCTAAGTGGAGGTGTGTAATTTAGTTGTTTATTCATTGGAATGTTCTGATCGGTGTTTTAACCTGATCTTGTTTTGCAGGAGAAATGAACAAGTTTCTAGAAGCAGCTGGTGGAGTTGGCATCCCCAAAAAGGGTAAAGGGAAGAGGATTGAGGTGGGAAGGCGAGGTGAGGGGGCCTCGGTGCCTCAGGCTGAGGTCTAAACCTTAGTCGTTTTGCAACCTAGCAACGTTTGGGATGAAGTGACGGTTGCTAAGGAGGGGCCCATTGTTGCAAAGAGGAGAAGGATGGAGCAACAAGAGGCTAGGAAAAGGTGACGGAACCTGCCGCCTCATCTCTTCCGAATGAGGTTGGGCCTTCAGCCACAGCTGCTAACGTTGCGACTGCATTCCATGAGCAGGGATACATTTGTCTACATACAACAAGCTTCTATGATTTTGGGATGAGAAGCACAGCAAAAAGATTCATTAACACCTACTTCCTGGAAGTGGATCGTCAATGGGCAAAAGATGTGGTGGTAGCTAGAGGTTCAGTTGGGGTGGTGCGTCAGGCCCTTGAGGTATGGTATTCTTATGTTGTTTAAAGTTTCAAGATGGAATTTTCTTAGCTATTTGGTGACTTGAGTTTATCTCATTGCGTAGGCTGTGAACCTCATGAATGTATTGGCGAACGACCATCACGAGAGTTTGAGGGACAAAAATCAGATGAGGAAAGAGAACGCCAAGCTCGTGAAGAAGAACGAAGAGGCCGAGGTTGAAGTGGCGAAACTGAAGGCAGAGATGGAAGAGTTGAAGAAGGAGAACACCACTTTGAAGAAAGACTCGGAGCTCTCATATGAGAAAAGGAAAATCTGTGAAAATGAGCTTGAGAAGAAAGAAAAGGAGTTGGACAAGGTGGCGAAGGCAGCAGTTGAGTTGGAGTTCAAGGTTCACAACTTTGTTGAAGAGCATGTGGAGGGGTTTTTGAAGTCCAGCACTTTCGAGGACATCGTCAACCTCTACCGCTCCCTATGGCAATTGTAGCCTTCTCTGACTGTTGGAAGAAGGTGAAGTTGTAGGATCTTGACGTGGATGTGAGGACAATCACATTTGGAGATCAGGTGGGAAAAGTGGAGGAAAATGGGGAGAGTAGCATTGCTAACTTCCATCCCAAGGTGACGCTGAAGTGGGACAAAGAAAGTAGAGCTCGAACCATTTTGCCTCCGAAGTTCAGTTTTGAATTTGTGGTGATGGGTGACAAGGGAACCGAAGGTGCTGACAACCTAGATCAGCCTGTTGAATAAATTTTGTATTCTGTTTATAGCTGTTAAAAATTGTTTGTAGACAATTTCATTTAATACATTTAGTTTGATTTTTATTGTGTTTGTTGTTTTTATGGTGGTTTTGAAATGGGAGTTTGCTAATTCAACCGAGGTGGGAAAAATGAAACTGACTTCATCTTTAACTTTATTAGAATAGTACTTGTTACAAAAGAAGGATGCCTAGAACAAATAGTGAAGTGGGGGACTCTCAAAGGTGGAATTTCTTAAGATTGTTAACATTTCAAACCCTAGGCACTCTTTTGCCTTCAGAATCTCGGAGAATGTATGCACTGGGGTGTGGGATCTCTGTGACAATGTATAGGCCTTCTCAATTCGGTGCTAGTTTGCCGAAGTGAGTTTCAAACCCCATGAGCCCGACCTTTCTGAGGACTAGGTCACTGATTTTGAAGTTCCGAGGTCAAACCCGTTTATTATAAAGGCTGGCTATCCTTTGTTTGTAAGTAAGCGTTCGAAGTCAGGATTGTTCTCGGACTTCATCTAAGAAATCAAGGTTTTCTTTTAATAATCGCTCATTTTGAGTTGGTTCAAAATGGCTAACTCTTAGGCTCGGGACACCAATTTTGACAGGGATAACTGATTTGGTGCCAAAGGTCAAGTGATAAGGCATTTCGCCTATTTGCAGGAGACTATAATTTTAAGATTTGCTTTAAAGGGCAACTTATAACTTTGAGTAAACTAATGAAAGAGGAAATTAAAATTAAGGGCGTACCTGTGGCAGTTCGACTCATAGTCTGGTAGGCCCATAGGACGTTGTTGAGTTCATTTGCCCATTTTGCTTTTAGTTTATCTAATCTCTGATTGATTCCCTACAAGATGGCTACATTAGCTGATTCAGCTATTCCATTAGCCTCAGGATGGTAAACAGAAGTGAACACTAGTTTAATCCCATAATTGGAGCAGAAGTCTTTAAAGGAGTTACAATTGAATTGGGGACCATTATTAGCAATGGCCTGGTTCGGTATCCCGTATCTGCAAATGACCGACCTGAAAAGAAAGTCCTTGATTCTTCTTGAAGTCAAACAAGAAAGAGGCCAGGCTTCCACCCACTTAGTGAAGTAATCGACGGAAACAACCAAGTGCGTTGCTCCCCCTACTGCTTTGATGAAAAGACTTAAAAGGTCTATTCCCCATTGGGCAAAAGGCCAAGGTGTGACCATGTTGGTGAGTTCTTCAACTGGCTGATGGGTGAGATGAGCAAAGAACTGACACTTTTGTACAAATCGTTTAGCATCCTCTTGCATGTTGGGCCAATAGTACCCCTGCTGAAGTACCTTATGGGCCAAAGTCTGAGCTCCCACGTGGCTTCCGCATACCCCTTCATGTACCTTTCTTAGTGCATATTCAGCTTCACACAACGTTAGGCATCAGAGGAGAGGTAAGGAGTAAGACCTCTTGTATAAGATATCACTAACTAGGATGTATCTGGATGCCTTTCTCTGAAGTCTCATCTTTTCCTGTTTGTCTGTTGGGACAGTACCACTTAGGAGGTATGCTCTGATGGGGTCCGTCCAACTGGGAGTTTTTGGATCGGTGTTGATTTCCATCACCTTGGATGTCTGGAAGCTTGGTTCATTTAATATTTCGATATAGACAGATTTCATCCCCCCCAAGCCATTGGATGCTAATTTGACAAAGAATCTGCCTGCTCATTTCCTGCTCTCGGGACTTTCGTCAACTGAAAATTTTCAAAGTGACATTTCAAGTCAGAGACAACAGCCACATACTTTGTAAGAGTGGGATCCGTGACCTCGCACATAGAATTCATTTGATTGACCACCAATTGTGAGTCACTATATATTTGCAGGCGTCTAATCTTGAGCTTGGTTGCCAAACATAGGCCCAGGAGAAGCGCCTCGTATTTGGCCATGTTGTTTGTGGCTTCGAAATTGAACTTCAATGCATGCTCACTTCAAAAATTGTCAGGCCGTCAGTATTACTCCAGCTCCAGAACCTTTGCTATTAGATGGTTAGTCGACGTAGAGGGTCCAGGTTTCGGCCTCGAAACTTGGTCCTTCCTGATTGGATGTGCATTCTACTATGAAGTCTGCCAAAGCTTGAGCTCGGATTGCTAACCACTGTTGGAACGTTATCTGAAACTCTCCTAGTTCGACTGCCCATTTGATGAGTCTCTCGGAGCATTTTGGTTTTTGCAAGATCTGTCTCAAAGGTTGGTTTGTCATTACGATAAGAGGGTGGGATTGAAAGTGTGACCTCAACTTCTTTGCGGTAACCACAACTGCTAGAGCTGCTCTCTCTGCTATTGAGTACCTCTGTTCGGCTCCTTGTAGCACCTTGCTAGCATAGTATACTGGTTGCTGTTGTTTTCTCATTTTCCTGATCAAGACAGAACTGACAACAATATCAAATATCCCGAGGTAAAGATAAAAAATTTCACCTTCTTCAGCCTTAGTCAGCAGAGGCGGTGAGTTGAGGTAGGCTTTAAGCTCGTCAAAGGCTGCTTGGCACTCAGTTGTCTAGTTGAACTTCTGGGTTTTTCCTGTTTCATCTTTTTGAGCTGTGATTCTCAAGACCTTAAAGAAAGGCAAGCATTTGTTCGTTGATTTAGAGATGAATCTGTGTAGAGCTGCTACCCTCCTAGCTAGACGCTGCACGTCCTTGGTTGACCTCGGCGGTTTCATCTCCTTTATTGCTTTTATCTTCTCAGGATTGACCTCTAGTCCCCTTTTGGAAACCATAAAACTCAGAAACTTGCCTGATTCAACATCTAAAGTGCACTTTGTTGGATCCAACTTCATACTGTATCTTCTAAGATTGTTGAATGTCTTAGCCAAATCAATCAAGTATACTGGTTGCTGTTGTTTTCCCATTTCCCTGACCAAGATAGAACTGACAATAGTATTAGATATCCTAAGGTAAAGATAAAAAATTTCACCTCCTTTAGCCTTAGTCAATAGAGGCAGTGAGCTGAGGTAGGCTTTGACCCTCCCAGCTAGACGATGCACATCCTTGGTTGACCTTGGTGGTTTCATCTGCTCTATTGCTTTTATCTTTTTAGGATTGACCTCTATTCCCCTTTTGGAAACCATAAAACTCAAAAAGTTGCCTGATTCCACATCGAAAGTGCACTTTGTTGGATTCAACTTCATGTTGTATCTCCTAAGATTGTTAAATGTCTCAACCAAATCGATCAAGTGGTCTTCTGCTCGACAGCTTTTAACTACAATGTCGTCTACATAAACCTCTAGCTTTCTGCCTATCTGAGCCCGGAACACAATTGTTACCATTTTTTGATATGTTGCTCCTGCATTTTTGAGCCCAAACGGTATCATCACATAACAATAAATTTCATCTCCAGCATAAAATGAGGTTTTCACTTCATCTTTGGGTGCTATACGAACTTGATGATACCCCGAATAAGCATCCAAGAGACTTAACTTCTCATTTCCTGAGGCGGCCTCTACTAGCTTGTCTATGTTAGGCATGGGATGACAATCCTTGGGGCAAGCGTCATTAAGATTGGTGTAATCGATGCGCATGCGCCACTTGCCATTCGACTTTTTTACCATAACAAGATTAGCAACCCATTCATAGTAATCTACTCTCCTCACGAATGCAACCTGTAGTAGTTTCTGTACCTTTTCTTTGATAGCTTATAGCCTTTCTCCCTTGGACATACGCCTCTTCTGAGCTACCGGTTTCTTTAGAGGGTTGGTGCTTAATTTGTGCATCGCAACTAAGGTCGGGACGCCGAGCATGTCGGCTGAGGTCCAAGTAAACACATCCTTATTTGCTTTCAGGAAGCTAATGAGCTCTTCTCTTTCTCCTGGTTTTAGTCTCGTCTTAATCTGCGTCTTTTTGGTGGGATCATTGTCATCTATCTGTATCTCTTCTATTTCTTCCATTGGGGCAACTCTAGCTTCGTCAGCTGGTCTGTTATTTGGTAACTCCACACCCTTTACTTGCTGGGTGCTAAGTGCCTCTAGTTGCACTGGTACTGGTAACTACAATAACTCCATATCCTTCTGAGGTCGGCTAACTGAGATCATATAGCAGTGATTAGCCACTTCTTGGTTTGCCCTTACGGTCGCAATTCCCATAGGCATGGGGAACTTCATGCATAGATGAGATTGTGAAACAACAGCTCAGATTTTTGTTAGGGTGGGCCTTCCCACTACAATGTTAAAAAAGGAGGCCATTTTCACAACTAGAAATCGAACTGAAGGGGTGACATACGTTTAGCTTGAACCGAAAGCCACGTTGATCTTCAGTATTCCTTCAATGGGAACCGGCTAATTGTTGAAGCCGTAAATAGGTCCATCATATTTTTGCCAGATAGTTAGGTTGAGGCCAAGGTTCTCAAAGCAGTGATAGTACATTATATCCAGGGTGCTTCTCGTGTCAACAAGGACATGGTGGACTTCACAGTTGTTGATGATGACTATTGTGACCAGCGGGTCATTATGGGGTGTGATGACGCTGCCGAGGTCAGCCGATGTGAAAGTTATGCGTTGATTTGTAGTATTGCTTCAATGAGAACCGGCTGATTATTGAAGCCATAAATATGTCCATCATTTTTCTGCAAGAGAGCTAGGTTGAGGCCAAAGTTCTCGAAACAGTGATAGTACATTATATCTGGAGCACTTCCCGTGTCAACAAGGACACGATGGACTTCACAGTTGTTGATGATGACTGTTGTGACCAGCAGGTCACTATAGGGTGTGATGACGCTGCCGAGGTTAGCCGATGTGAAGGTTATGGGTTGATCTGTCCACCCTTCATCATGGAGCTTCCTCTTTTAAGCTTGGTTCTGATGCCTAACCTCCCTTACATAGAGTTTCTGCTGCTTTGAGCTCATCCCTCCTGCCTCTAGCCTCCCATTTATCATATAAATGATCCTGGCTGGGGTGGGGAGCAGAGGTGGAGGTTGTTGGTACCCGACCCCTATCTTGGTATTAGCACCTTGAGGCCCTTGGGAGGCTGGGAGTCTAGGCGCTGTTCCCTTACAAATCTCGAGTGGTCTTTGTTAGGGATGAACTCATTCAACATCCCCTTCCGTGCCAAGCTTTCAAGCTCAGACTTTAGCATATTGCATGCCTCTGTTGTGTGGCCGTGATCTTGGTGGTAGTCGCAGTACTTAGTGTGATCTTTGGAAGTGGGTAAACTCCGTATGGGCGGTGGCCTTTTGAGATCCATTTTGTTTTTTATTTGCATTAAGATCTGCAATCTTGGTAGTGTAAATGCAGTCCAAGTGGGTTGCCTCCCCGTGGCCTGCAAGGTACCCAGACTAGGCTTGTCAACCTTAGTTGAGAATGGACCTCGGTTTTGAATGGCTTTGAACTTCTTCTTGTTCGGCCCTTCTTCCTTCCATGTGGGGTTTCTGTTGTCCTTGATGGCTAAGGGCTTCTGTGACAACACATATTCTTCCGTAGTGATGAAGTTGCAAGATCTTTTATTGACTTCTTCACATGAAGCAGGGGGGTGTTTGATCAGACTATCTCGAAACCGCTCCTGGCTGAGCCCTTGGGTGATGGCGGTGATTCCCACAGCTTGGTCAAACGAGCCAATCTCTAGTACAGCGTCATTAAACCTATTTATGTAGTTTTTTAGGGATTCTCTTTCCCTCTGAGCCACCGCATAAGCTTGACTATTGTTTTCTTAATCAGCCTTCGACTAGAAAATTTGGTGGCGAAGGTCATCACCATCTCGACATATGAACTGATTAAACTCGGTTTCATACTATAATACCAAGTTCGGGCATTATCATGTAACGTGGATGGGAATATTTTGCACATGAAGACGTCCGAAGCATTCTGAGCCTGCATGACCGAACAGAAGGCGTGCAAGTGGTCATCAGGGTCTTTAGTTCCGTCATATGTTTCAAACTAAGGCATTCTGAAGCCAGATGGGTATGGTTCCTAAGACAATGTTGGTATTAAGGGGAGTGGATATAGGGGTTCAACTGGTTTGGCCTGAGGTTGCAGCTCTGTTCTTGGCCATCATTCTTTTGAGGTTATCTAGCCTTTTGGAGACATTTGAGGCCATTGGTTGAGGTGGATTAGGAGGATTAGGGGGCAAAGGTGGAATGTGAGATCGTAACTGGGAGACATTCTTGAGGGAGGCAACGCTCTGGACAGGGGAGTTAACAGGTTGGTGTTGTTGATGAGGAATTGCGAGATGAGCTGGGTTTAGTAAGTTGATAAGAAGGTCATCAAGGCTATTTCTAGCTAAGAGTTGTGCAAGCACCAGCTGGAATACTCCGAACTGTTGCTGCATGGTATTGAGTTGGGCGGTTATGAGGTCATTCGGGGCAGCGACTAGGCATTGCGGGTCGTGCTCTCCTGTTTCTTCCGCATGTTGGGGTTGAGCAACAGCAAGTGGTACATTCTAAAGCATGGGGTCGAGATTCGGGGAGCGATCTCTTCCACCACCTCGAGATTGGCTTCCATGTTGGGTCGAATGTGTGCGAACCATCTTAGTTCCTCTGTTTTCTTTAGGGCTTCTTGCTCAAGTTGCCACAGATGGCATCAATATTGTTGCTAAAAGCCTTCAAGATCTTCCTTTAGTGACTCTTCTCTCAGGGTGGATCTACAAAATCCCAAGGTTGGTCCTCGGGGAGAAACTCTGATGCTTAAGTCAGTATTTTTCTAGTGAGTCTTCTCCTTTTCTATTCTATGTATTGATAGTACCTTCTTTGTGGGTTTTGTACATCACGACAAGGTACCCATGTGGCTCGCCCATACCCACATGGCTTAATTTACACAATAATTGTGATATAGTGTGCCTGACGGAGTAGACGTTTTAGGTGAACTTAACGTACCTTAACGGAGCAAACGCATTAAATGCACGTGTGTGTTCTGACGGAGTAGGTCTCTTGAGAGGAGAGACTCAAATAAGGACAAATGATTGGGTAAGGGTATTTTTATTGTGACTGCCATATACTTGTGGTAGAAAACCAAGGTGCGACAAACATTGAGCTCTGCTTGTCTCTGCCCAATGAATGGTAAAGAGCCGAGCTACGACAGACATTGAGCTCTGCCTGTCTCGCGTATATATGCCTTTACAGCAGCTACCCCTAGTAGATTTTGAGGGATTTTCACTGAAGAGGAGATGGCATTAAGACAGGCCTGGGAATGAGTTTAAGCAAAATGTGTAGATTCAATCGATAGAATCTTGTTTTGAGATATGGCCATTTGCAATGGAAGGCTATATGGCATTGGCAAGCAATGCGACATTCACTAAATCCATATTTCCTTTGAATTTCTTACATGATCTATTGAAAAAACTGTTTTCATTGGAAAAAAACGTTTAAGGAAAAGTTCTGGCGGCTGTTTGGGGTCCACGAAAATCGAATAATAAACTATTTTCCAGGCGGTTTCCTTTAGAAACTCAAAGTTAGTCCTTAAACTTCTTTTGTTTTCTGAATCTAGTCATTGAACTTATTTTGGGCCCTTACAAGAAGGTTATGGTTATGACCATAGTTATATTTGTTACCATCACACAATTTTTTGATATCTTATCAATTTATAGGCTTTTTTTGGACAATTAGTTACGATATCTTTAAATATTTGTCTATAAATTGGTTTCAATATATTAAATAAAAAATATTAACTATTTTATGAGTTATTAATTATTGTGTAGTCTTAACAAATTAATGTGGGTTAAAACCCCTTTTTGGTCCCTGAACTATTGTACGGACCCCCGATTTGGTCCCTGAACTAAAAAAATCCCTGATTTGGTCCCTACTATTTATCATTTTTACCCCGATTTGGTCTTTTCGTTAAAAATCGTCCGTTAACTCACAGATATATCAAAAATTTAAGCCACGTCAGTTGTACACCTGGATAAATGATGACATGGTCATACCCAAC